AGTGTTACGAACCAACCATATAACAAGGCCTGGTGGGGCCGAGCACGAGGCATTACCACCAATCAAAGACCAGTAGGAGCTGTGGGCTGCTGCAGATGGGACTAACGACCGGTAGCCAGCGGTAGCGGGCCAACACAGGCCATCACGGTAGACTAAGGTAGACGGCTACTGTCATGAATTAACCAACAGCAGGCCGCATGGAGCCCCGAGCCAATCATTTAGGAACATCAGGCAGACCAATCAAGGCAAGGCTGAAGTGCTATGACGCCAAGACAGGCGACCGCCTCGCAGCATGCAAAATGCTCGAGGTGATCGAAGATATAGCACGACGAGCAGGCAAGTGCTCGAGGGTGCTCGGGACACGAGCACAGGTGATCAACAGAACCGTATATAGTATATAGTCATTCTTTAAGGAGGACCTTCAGAAGGTTCTCCAGTAAGCAATGCAAGCAGTTGTCTATACTACTGTGTGAACACTTGCTTGTGTCAATTGTTGTAGACCCTTTAGCTCTACCGAACCTCACCCCGTTGTTACGAACCTTCAGTCTGAGGAGTCCCTTTCAGTGGTTAGGGGACCGAGATTCGTCACAGCTACCGGGGCGATCGGGTAGCCCACGGTAGCTGGCGAGCAAGGGCGAGCCAGCTGGAGGAAGCTGTATATAGATCACGATCTCTACGGCCTACGGGCATCACGATAGCTTCCTTAGTAAGCAATGCAAGCAGTTGTCTTTACTACTGTGTGAACACTTGCTTGTGCACTTGTAGACCCTTTGGCTCTACCGAACCTCACCCCGTTCAAGTCAACCTTCAGTCTGAGGAGTCCCTTTCAGTGGTAGGGGACCGAGATTCGTCACAACCGGTTCTTCTAGACAGTGGTTGATACGACTGACGATGTAGCGAAATGTACTGATTTTCGTCTTGGTAGATGGAACAGGGTCCAATTGGCTAGTTTTGCGTTTTGCTAAGAAAGTGGCCGATTCCACGATTAAAGGGATTCTCGAGTGGTATCCATCTATCCTCTCGCCCTCAAAAGCTCTAAGATCCTCTAGGAGAGGTACCCTATTATCCCTCAAAGACCCTTAGTTCTATCTTTTCTTATAACTACAAAGGCTTTATTGTAGGAAGGCTTGTTAGACCTTAAGTAACAGGTGTAATACTGCTGTTTTTGCTGTACTGTGCACTGCTGGGAGCTTCATTCCTTCCATTCTGGGAAATAGTAGGTCAACCTGACATTGGCGATAACCTCGGATTAGCGATCAGTTTGGCCGTGACGGACCCAATCGCTAATTGCAGGTTTGACTGTATAGTGCTGTCAACGCTGTATGCACGTGATGATTCTCGAAGTTCAGAAGGTTGGATGCCCTGTATTTCCAGGGGGCTGCGCCCCCCGGGACCCCCCCTTTTGCCTGCGGCGCTTTTTCGGGTTGCCTGCGGCGCTCACTCCTCTGGCATCCTCAACCACACGCCGCAGCACAACGCAGATGTCATTTCGCAGCCATTTTTGGGTGCAGGATACATGGAACCGATTCTGTGGCGGTGCATGCAGCCAAGACGCGCTAAATCTGTGGCGACCAATTGCTCCTGGTTTTACTCTGCAGGTCGTGTGGCGACCAATGAGAGCTGCAGAAACTCCTTGGAGAACAGGCTCTGTAATAGAAGCGAAGCTCTGCCTTCGCTCACTCCGTGGGAAAACCCACTTACGTAAGCTCGTCATTGAAGCTTCGCTTCAACAATACCTCACGGTGGAATCGGGGCGATGCGAAATCGAATACATACCGGGACCCAGATTGCAAGTCAGAGTCACGGATACATATCCGTTTTTAGATGAGCTTCTACACGTGTATACTCTGCATGGAAGATGCATTTGGTCCTTTGAGTCTTCGTGGTTTCGACAATTTACTTGTAGGCACAGGCAGATTCCTTGACAACGCATCTGCCACCTTGTCAGCCACAAAATTCTTGTTGAAACACAAATGTAATTCTAGGTCACTCAGATGAATTCTGTGCTTATTCAGACGACTCATCGGCGAAGCGGACGTGCACTCCTCCGAGTATGCCATCCGCTGCTCCATCTTCTTGTCGACTAGTTCATCCATCTTTGCACGCATAGCCGGATCGAGCAGGTGAAGGCCATCACCATCATTCTCAGAATTATGCAAGGCATGCCAGTATATGTCGTCGATGTCCAAGCTGGTAACCTGTGAGAGTCGCCAACTCGTTCATGCTGAAAGTCAAGGGTCTTCCGCTAACCATCCACTTCATCGACGACTCGTCCTTGGAGATGGCACAAATGAAAGGGAAATTGAGCCCGACAGATTTGGAGCAGAAAATCAGCCACTTAATCGTAGATGACGTCAAGTGTCGCTTCGTCAATGGTTGGGTTGAGGATGAGGTCGCCTTGTTCATCATCCATCGGTTGCTTCAAGAAAGTCGACAGACGGACTCCTTCAATAAAATCCATGATGAATGATCCCAACAGCGCTGGGTCCTCGTCAGCTGAGCCCCAACAGCGGATATGAGGCAGTGGAATGGTAGTGTGTTCGCGTAGGTACTCGATAACCCGGACCTCGTTCACAACCTTCTCGTCCCGCCAAGGCGAATAGGTATGGTCAAGCCCTGCAAAGTGAATGAGGGCGCTCGTCCGGCTCTCACCAAACCCGATGTGAAAGCTGACGTTGAACGACCCCTTGAAGAAGCCGAGATATTCGCCGGTTCCTGGACCACCCAATCGAGAGTCCACGAAGGCCACAGTACAATTTCTTCCTTGGCATTGAGCAGCCTTCTTTTCGATACTCTGCATTCGTCATCAGTATCTGCCTCGGCGCTGGAATCATAAGCTGTCATGTGTACTCCGTCGGTCGCGTCACGGCGTCAGGAGAACTGGAGGGAAAGGATCGCAGGCGCAGGACAAACTCCACGGTGGCTCCTGAGGTTAACACAGGCACTAGTCCGCGTCGAGTGTCAATGTGTCGACTTCGAGGAAAAAGATAAAGCTGACGAGCGGGAGGCAAACGGTCGTAAGTGCCAGAGACCATTGATACATTTTGCTTTTGCAGTTGGAAAAGCCAGTGTTTGTGTTCCGATAAATCCCGCTTGCGCTGGCCTTCAATCGACCTACATATACCGTTAGGGTCAGAGAATCAGTACTTTAGGAATCCCGTCATTCCGTCAGGTATTCCCTTCCTGGAAACTCTCAGTTGTCGAGGACGTAGGTTATGTTGTGGAATTTGTGTTTCGCAAGCGCCCAAACCCCTAAAGCCAAAAAAACATGCTGCTGCCGGGTGTACGTAGTAGTAGTGTATAGTATCACCACAGACGTCAAATCTCTGGCTGGATAAGCCCCAGGCTGCCCAGCGATACAATGCATTTACCGGAGATGCCAGGGCAAGTTCTGCGAATGCTTCTAGCGAAGCGCAGGCGAGCGCATGCACTTGGAAGTTCGGGCCCGGTCGCCCGAGCATCGCTCGCCTTGTGTTCCTCCTGTCATGAGATTTGTTGTGTGACACAAACGCCATTTCCGGATCCTGGGCCATGCAAAGGAATCGTCAGAGATCCATTCAGGGGCAAATGGAAAGAACGACGCACGCGCCAAGTGATGAAATTTGGGGGGAGCTTATGCAGGAACAGAGGCTCGCTTACGTCGCTTCCGTCGCTTCTCGGCAAACTCTCCACTGATAAGGCGTCCCGAACCATGTGTGCTCCCTGGGAATTTCACAGATTTGTCGAAGCAGCCGCACCACCACGAAAAACATCCCCACTGTTGAGCTTTCATCAACCCATCATCACCGATCTCGCTATGTTTCAAACGATCCTCCACATCAGATGAGAATCCACCCAAGGCCCACATCGCTTGCTGGAGACGCGCTGTTCTTCGCGGCGTATCCTTGCCCTTGTGCTCGGTTGCAGACTTGCAGTGGCCCGTCACACCAGTGACACCACGGCCGCCATCTCCGTTTTCGGTTATTCCCGCTCGCTTCCTATCATGTCGACACCAGCGTTGGTCCTGTATGTACTGTGGTACCTACACTACCACAGTACACTCTGCAATTCGCTATTCCATGTCGAGATTCCCTTAAGATCGCCCGGGAGATCGCCTGGCTGGGCGTCCATCCGTTTATGTATTCGACAATACATACCACACACACCGTAACTACTGCCTCCCTGCGGAGCAGATACAGGTGTAGTATTTGTACAAGTACCCCTTTCACGATGTGTTGATGCTTCCGGCACCGTTGCCCAGCTTCGTTGCCGCCGGACCTCCTCAGTGTGCCGCTTTTGTGCGGCCCTAGATCCATGGCATCCACTCCACGACTCCATACTGACGGACGCTTCGCTTGTCATCCTCCCTTTGGCCAAGAACTAATCTTCCTGAAACAGCCCGACGATCTGCCCCGCCGCCATGGTTCAACGTCCCTCTTCCATGTCGTCCTTTCGTTGAGTGGAGTTTGGCCAACAGACTGCGGATTCAATACCCAAGTGGGTAAAGCAACCGTCCAGGACCCCCGTCTGACCGATCCCCTTTTCCAGCCTTGATGAACATATAAGGCTTGGTTGGAATTCTTCACGGGATATCGCCTCTCAGCTCAACAGGCGCAAGGCGACCTTTCAGCAAAGCCAGTACTCTCTCTTTTCATTCATTCGTTGTTTACATACATTCGCTTCATTGACTGAAGGCTCTTCTTCCCCTCTCTCTTATCTTCTGCCAAACTTATCCCATTCATTCCGCTAGACGGTGCTGTTCAGCTTCTTGCTCCAACACAGCTTTACCCACCTTTGGCTTCCACATCCAACTCGCAAAGATGCCTTCTCTCAGCTCCAAGACTCTCCTTTCAGCCCTCGCTGGCGCCGCCTCGGTCGCGGCTCACGGTCATGTCAACAACATTGTCATCAACGGCCTCTCGTACCAGGCCTACGATCCGACCGTCTTCCCTTACATGGCCAGCCCTCCCGTGGTTGCTGGCTGGACTTCTGGCAACACCGACAACGGCTTCGTTGCTCCCGATGCCTTTGCCTCGGGTGATATCATCTGTCACAAGGATGCCACAAACGCCAAGGGCCATGCCGTTGTTGCCGCCGGTGACAAGGTCTTCATCCAGTGGAACTCATGGCCCGAGTCCCACAAGGGCCCCGTCCTCGACTATCTGGCCAACTGCGGCAGCAGCGGGTGCGAGACGGTTGATAAGACGGCCCTCGAGTTCTTCAAGATCGACGAGGTCGGCCTGATTGACGGCTCCAGCGCGCCGGGCACGTGGGGCTCCGATCAGCTCATTGCCAACAACAATTCTTGGATGGTCCAGATTCCGGCCAACATTGCTCCCGGTTTCTACGTCCTCCGCCACGAGATCATCGCACTGCACAGCGCCGGACAGGAGAACGGAGCCCAAAACTATCCCGTCTGCTTCAACCTCCAGGTAACCGGCTCCGGCACCGAGTCCCCCGCCGGTGTCTTCGGCCAGTCCCTCTACACCCCGACCGACCCGGGCATCCTCGTCAACATCTACCAGTCGCTCTCCAGCTACACCATCCCGGGCCCTGCCCTGATCGACGGCGCCTCCAGCATCGCCCAGGGCACCTCTGCCATTACCGCCTCGGCCACCGCCATCACTGGTTCCGCCACCGCCGCCCCTGCCCAGACCACCGCGACCAGCGCCGTTGCTACCTCGGCCGCTGCTACGTCCGCCGCCGCCACCTCCACTGTCTCTTCTTCGGTTGTGGGCGTGTCGTCGTCCGCTCCCGTCACCACCGCTGCTCCTGTCGCTTCCGCCACGACCAGCGCCGCTTCCAGCCCAACCGGCTGCCCCGGCGCGGCCAAGCGGAGGGCCCGCCGCGCCGCCCGCCGCGCCGCCCGCCGCCACGCCCGTGACCTGGGTCTCAACTAGGACAAACACGTCCCCTTCGCCCTCTTCAGTTCTTGCACATCCTTTTTTTAAAAAGTTTCATCATCGTGCAGCGCGCAGCGCTACTCTGAGTCGTTCAACTCCCGCTTGGAAAGCGACGGCTTTGGTCTTGGCTGATGGAAGAAGCTCGCTTCGAACCATCTTCTATTTCACTGTATATATTGTATTGGCTTTGTTGTTGCCTTCTTTGTATCATACTGGGTCTCCTGGGCAGGGTTGTGCATACTAGGGTAGAGAAATGGTAGCTGGGAATGTAAAAATAAATGCATCGTGCGAGTCAAAGTGAAGTGTTTACGAGTGTGCTGTCGTGTCACGGTAGGGAGTGGTCAGGTGATGGCTCATGCTCGCCTGAACCAGAAACCTTGCTCATACAGTGAATGACACTACTTACCTTAGGATCCGAGTCCAAGCTTGAAATAAGTCTGATGGTAATTGTGTTGATAATTGCTATGTGGACTCTTGGTTTGAAGAAGTACCTTAGACGAGGAATGAATCCGTACCCACCTACCTTAGACATCAAGCACAACAATGATAATGTATATCATACGCAACTGGAAGTATAGAAAACACCCTGGAACTCTTGAGAGTCGTACATACTCAGTGCAGTGTAGGCCTCTGTCCACTCTCCACCCAAGTTCCAAGGAAGACGGCATTTCTACTACCGGTGTCTTTTCAACCATCACCGATGGTTGTAGAGAGAAATCAGACTTGCCTCAGGCTGGGCGGTTCAATGAAGCTCTTGTGAATGAAACCAACCTCGTCATTTCCAGAGACGCATGGGTACGGTAGGGTAGTCAAGCTTCAGTTGCACATACTTACTCACTGGTAGTACTACATAGCAATATCCACCGTGACGGAACTAGTGCATGGGAATGTCAGTGGACTGTCTGAGCCAGCCGGTAGTACTCCGATGTGTGGAAGGAAGAAAAGTAAAAGATACTACTCAGGCTAGTATTGAGTACTAGTACTTACCTCATAGCACACTTGCAGCTGGCGGGCTTGCCGGGGCTCACGCTGAGAATCTAAATACTCTACATTCCACAGCTATCTACTTACTACTAGTAGTACCTAGTACTACCTAGTACTCGGGCAAACTTGAGCAGCGAGCTACTAGTATGAACACATGTAGTGCCACAGAATATGACTCAGGCGTGACGTGAGTACTAGTATTTAGTAACTCGTAACTTGTGATTTCAAGTTAGTTCCTCCAAGAATCTTTCAGGGGCATTTTGGTAAGCTAGATCGGAATGATACAAACGTACAATGTTCCTGAGGTCAGCCCTGTATCTCCATCATTCATGGAGTTGGTTTCTTCGCTTGAAACATGGAGATTTTAAGCTTGCCCGGGCTGTTCAGCTCTATGTCAACATCCTAACCCTCGTGGGATGTTCAACTGCTACTTTGCACCTAGAGAAGACGTCAACATCCACATGCCCTACGCTGATGCAAACATTCAACAAGCTCACTCTCTACTCTCTAGTATCGACGCCATAAGTAAGCAACCGCACAATCCAGAAAAGACGAAGCTACGGCAGTTCTGAGCAAAGGGATTCGCTCACTGATAATGTATATGACAGCCTGCCGTGCCTACGGTTTGGACGAACCATGAGCCCAGGCCCGAGCCTAGGAGAGCAATACTACTACCACCAAGTATATCAAAGCTGCAAGAGTCAAACTTTCATTTCATGTTGATACAACGTGAAAGGCACCTCCTCTAGCTCTATGGTGGCGTTGAATACCTGGGTATTAACGGAGAAGGCCGAGGCAGGTTGGTATAGTATTTTAAGCTGTACCTTAAGCAACTGACTTTATTACCTAAGTACTAGGTAGGCTTATTGTTCTTATTCAACTGCGCACCTTCAAGTCCCGATAACAGTTCTAAGGACTTAGCTAGTCGGTACTAATAGTAACATATGATATGTGACTCTCATGCAACTGGAGTAACATGGATGGAGCATCTGTACCTGGTATATCCGAGTGTATTTGTAACCCAAATAATAAACATCGTGACGATCTAATTACTACAATGTATTCTTCATTATAAAGTCTTTGTAACTGCCCAGATGCTAACGTAAAGTACTTAGCTAAGCTTACCAGTAGCACCATCACGATCTGAATATCGAGTTTACAGTTTACACCTTGGCAGCAGCACTTCAAAAACCATCGTTGGACTGTGTTAGTAAGTGCCAGCTAGAATGAGGAATGATGGGATTATATGGTATGCATTCAATTTATGCCTTGACTGATCCGCGTCGCTGAGGAGACGAACTTCAGTTGAAAACAAGACTCAGCATCTCGCTTTGAAGGCCTTAATCGATGCGGACTTCAACACACCCGGGCCGTGACGCTGACAAGCAAAGTTGCGAGTGATTATCCGTTCATGTAGGGTTGCTGCGTTGCCAGTCGGCCGCCGTAGGGGCCAACGGTTCGCTGTCTTATGCTACGGTAGCATGCAAGCAGGGTTCGAGGAGCCAGCTTTCGCGGGGAAGTAAACATTACCCTATACGTGGCTATGATTGTAGTGTAAATAGCTTGATGTTACAATAGCTCGGGGTTACTTCAAGTTCTCGAGATAAACCAGGGCAAGAAACAAGACAGCGGTCCAACGGAACGGCCAAGAAACCCGCAAACTTAGCGAGGTTGGATCGAGTCAGCTAACCAGCGCAGGTTTTTGGGGCCATTGGTAAGGTAAATGAGTTCTCTTCGCCCCGGTACGAGGTGCACAACAAGTGGCCATCTCCGTCTCATTCTAATATCGCCAACTTGAAAGTTCCAGTGCTAATCACATGTACCGTGTAGTGTGTGGCCATCGCGGGAGATGCCGCCGACGCTTTGATGTCTTAGCAAGAAAAAGACGCAATAATAATATCAGTTCGAGGCTTCAAGCCAGGCCGAGAAAGCGAACTCAAAGACCCGACATCCGCTTAGGATCAGACAGTTGCCCCGAGTGCCTTGGACGTTGCATACATACACTATGTATACTTCCGAAGCCTAATGCACTCACGTCCGCCAACCTGCTCTCTATCCGGTCTTGGCAGCAAACCGTTTACCGGCATGCGTTCAGGTTGCAAGGGTTGTGCATCGGGACCTGGGTTAAGCTCCCGTCTCGCCCATCTACCTGCTGCGAACACAACGGAATAGAGACTGGCGGCAACTGGCGAAGTCCGGTGATGGGGACTGGAGAATGGAGATGAACAACGTAGCAGGCTCTTTGGGCTGCAGCTGTCAAGTGCCTGCATACGCGAACCGTGCGGAGTCGCCTCGGAAAGCCCGCCAGGCTTGCAAACTCTGCGTATGATCCGTGCCGATGCCAGATCTGGACAGCTCCAGCCTCCAATTCGGGGAAGGTGCTAGCCTGACTTGACCTCTCTCATCAGTCTCCGGCAGGCAAGTGGCCAAAGTGCCAAGGGCAGATGACTACCTAGGTACCTTGGCCTGCTTGGTGTATCTCTTCCCTCACTCTTTCCACTCCCCTTATGCGGCCCTGGCTGCGACCCAGAGCGTGTAGAACCGCTGGCGACCGACTCGGAGAGATTAGGCACTAGGTAGGGCTTGATAAAGCGCTATTCCGCTGTTTGTGCCTTCAGCTTTGAGAGGCTGGTGAGGACTTAACTGCTCGCCAAGCAATGATCAGGAGATGAAAACGCAACCGCCAGTAACTACTTAGGTAGATCACTGTCCTGATATTGCGCTCTTGCGGCACGGCGGGATGGTGGTGAGGGGGCACGCAAACCTGAGTCCTCCGCATTCCACTGCAGCCGCCTCCGGAACCTCCAACAGCCTCTGAGCCTCCTCACATATACGGGGTACGCGGTGTGTAGTTAGTGTAGAATGTCCTTTGGCCACGTCGCCGTCGTGGCCACCTTCTCCGCACGACCGACTTGCTTCCCCTCACTTGCCCGCCTAAGGTTAAGGTAGTGGATGATGCTCATCAACTACACATCTGCACGCCATCTCCAATTTGAGTCACCTGACCGATTGCCCGCAGTCCCTTCATCTACCCTTCATCTACCATTCCATGCTATGCTCGCCATCAGCAGGAAGGAGCTGACGGGAATGGAGGGCGTCACCTCAGAGGGAAAAAAGGACCTTGGTACTAGATTTACCTACCTAGCCCAGTTTGGAATAGCAGCACCGTTTTGTCTTATATTCCCTCATTTCCTGCAATCAATACGTATAGGTACTAGTCTGGTGGGGCTCGCGACAGATTTGTTGCAGCAAGCAAGTGCGGTGCGAAGCTGCGAAGGACCACGGCTCCACGGGTGGAGATCCCCAAGGGTCCAGTCCCCCGCCCTCGGCCTACACCATCTTTTCTGACCTTTCTGTGTGCCGTTGTTACATCGTGCGGACCATGCAGCAAAACCCAATCACGGTTGCCAGACCCGTCCTCCGTCGCGAAGTGAGCCACTCAGGACTTACCGTCATCGCGGTCCGGTCTGACCAGCAGGAGCCACTGTGCATTTGTGGCTTGCGCAGAGCAGCAGGCAAGCGCTTTCCTTCCAATAAGGAACCAAAGGCACCCGGATTGTGTTCTGCAGCCACATCGCACTCGCAAGGGTACCTTAATTATTGCACGCCCTCGATAATCTCGATTCCCGCTTGACCGAGTCCCCGTTGTTTCCTCATGGTACATTCTCTAAGCAGAATAGGGAACATGTGTTCAAAGATCACCTTACCAGGCTTACCTACATGCTAATGCAAAGCAACATGGAAGGGCAAATATCTACGAGTTCAGAGCTACGGATGCAATAGACGCAACCCGTATGATGATGGCAGGCAGTTGTGACCAGACGCCTGCGTAATAATCCAGGTTCAGACCAATGCCGCTTGGTACCGTTAGTACCGGACGGGTTGCACCAGCAAGTCGAGTTCATTGGGATGTACTGTACTGTACAGTACCCATATCCATACACCCACTGCAGCGACGCAGACCTTATCACATCACCAACGAAGGATCCGCCCAAGATCCTGCGTGATGAGGTTCGATTTGATTTCTGATCTTGACACTAGTACCTTAACGTTAGCACAATCCTGATTTGTTAGGTACTAAGTAGGTATTGCCTGCCGTTCTTTGGACTGTTGCTTGACTCTCACTACCTGTGCTGCTGTGGTATATGTCTGCAATGAACAATGGTGGCAACTAACTTAATTTGATTCCGATGGTATCTCTCGGTGTGTCTAATCGACGAAGAGTGTTATCATCTCAGGCTGACCATCCGTAAGCCGGTGTATGTACGCAAAATAATACTAGGTAGGTAGTACACAGTACGCCGTACGGTTACACACAAAAAGGCTGCTGGGGAGCCCGGAACTCTCTTGATAGTCCTTAG